TTTTCGGATATTAACAACAATTGGATTAAGAGGGAGAGTAGGTGGAGTTAGTAAGGTTTTGAAACATTAATTGGATTAGGAATAGAAGAAACAGGGTGGTTGGTCCAAGATAAGAAAGTGGGGTATAAGGGGTGCGGTTTGATAAGAAGAGAAAGGGAGAGATCGGTGTACGTGCAAGTGTCCAGCGTGCAACAATTCTTGGTATTGATCAATTGTATCGACCATTGTACTCTAACGAAAATAGTAATAGATTTTATGACTACAAAATAAAGATAAGGAATACGAACTATTTGAAATACAATTATGTTGGGATAAACCCCTAATGACACACCTATCATTAAAAATCAATATACAAATATACAATGGAAAAGGTACCTAAGAATAAACTAATTGTTTGCAAAGTAAACAAAATAAAGTAAAAGTAACTTATTTAAATGACTAACAACCCCAATTACAAAATTACACCTAAAAGCTATAGCGAAACAATGGATATAGAACGTTGACACTCAACAGTTGCTATTGTTGTTATATTTTTTAGTATATTAGGTATGCTACACTTATTAATAAATCATAAAAATCAAGTTAAAACCAACGTTTGGTCCGTTAAAACAATTACTATCAAACATTTACTAAATAATAATCCTACGTTTAATCGAACGAGATGGGTTTCTGGTACGAGTAAAACATCGGTTGATAAATTACTTAGTGGATGCGGTCAAAAAGCCTTTTACTTACAATCGAGGATTAAGCACTTTCCTATGCCCGAGCTCATTAATGTTTGAACATGATAGGAAATTAAATTTTAATATGACGCGTTAGATAATAAGGAGCTAAGTCGATTGTTTCATAAAACATATCCATCTCCTTTTCGTTCTAATATCTTTCTAGCGTATTGAATTTTACTGACATCAAAATACGAAAACTACGGCGAAAAACCATCTGAATAAATAGAAATATTAATCCTTACGGTAATTATTGAGGCAGTTCGAGTTGCATCGATTTATTTTGAACGCGCCAACAATAAAGAAAAGTTATGAATAAGAGTCTTAGTCGTTCCAAATCAACTCGGAAAGCAAACTCTTTTCGCACAATGTGTTCTTTTTCAGGCGTTAATGAAACAATTTGGGCCATTCAGAATAATCGATTCAATCAAACTGAAGAATTTCATCATTATGACATTTTTCTATTATTTATTCATTTCAGTAATTTATCACCAAAGTGACATTACGTACACAAAAGCAGTTTTAGTGTTTTGTATGTGGAGATTTTCTGCAAAATTAATCAAATCTTGCATTTTTATGGGGTAAGAAATGAGACATTTAGAAGAATTTTTATTGAAGTGAATTAATTTTTGGATTAATTTTTTATATAATGGCGTAACAGCAGTAACAATTTTCTCTTCATTAATTTTAAGGTTGTCTGAAGTAATAAAAATTAGTTCAGTTCACATAGTAAATGCCAGAAATTGCAAATTAAAAAAGCCCTATCATTAAACAATTGGGGAATGATTTTTTTTTTTAATATTTCACGAAGAGTTTTCGGCTAATTATTGTGCGTTTTATTAGTTACATAAATACATTGTGTATTTTACCCTAACGTTTCGAAATTCATGTTGCTCTCTTCACGGAGGTATCTGAAGCAGTTTCAACTATTGTTGAAGTAATTAGGTCTAGCCAAATTGAATTTTATAAAAGATAATTTGTAGTCAACAAAAGAAGTAATTTTCAGCAATGTGATGTGCCAGCCTTCCAATTTCTTGACTACTTGACATTAACACGGACATTTACCTACACGCAAATAGACACATACTAGTTAGAGGTGTGATGGTATTCTACAATGACTTGGTCAAACAATGCATTTCAAACACTCGACGAAAACCAGCATTGGTAATAATACCTCTCTTGTGTAGTGCTTTTGTGCAGAATAGGCTAAATCCTTCAAACCCAGAACTTTCCCGTTTTGAATAGAAATTACAAATGATTAAGTTCATTTTGGACAAAGGACAGTGTTACTTTTGCGCCCTTTGTTTAGCTGGAGGAAAATATAATTGTGAAAGTTATTATCATACATTATTTAACCTTCAGCAGCTGATAGCTATAACAAAATGGAAGGAGAAAAAAAAAATAAAATGATCGATACCTGCTTGTTTTCTGTCGCGGGAAATACATCATTTTCACTGTTTGACTCAATTAGTTTACGTGCATTTAGCTTATTTACTAAAACCGTTGTAGTATCACGTTGTTCGTGTTTTTTGTAGTAATCAATAGAGCTTTTTGGCGACTTTTCGTCAACACACGCAACTGTATTTAATGGATTATATGCGAACATATTTTTCCATTTAAACGGTCAAAATTAATACGTATATCAGTAAAGTTTTAGTTCGTAGAACTTAATAAAATAGTTAATTAGAATAATTTACAGAGGTAGAATATTTTTTTTATTATTATTTTTTTTTCAGGGATTGCAGAGTCGTAAGAGACCCCCAAACGCTAAAATCGAAAGGATATGGCTTCGTATCGTTCATCAAAAAGGCGGTGAGTTTTTTTACATTTTTAATTGACGTTTAACTTATTTACCAGGGTGTCTAGAGACCGGGAAATCAGGAAAAACCGGGAAATAGAATTAGCCGTGAAAAAGCCGGCAGACTTGCAAACATACAAGTTTTTCAAATCGCGCGACATCGACGAAAAAATGTAGCAATTTTTATATGTCCGAAAATTCACCGTTTTCGAGGACAAATGCAGTTAAAAGTACAGGTAAATTCAATTCCGGCCCTGTATATCAATATAATATCGCTTTCGATCAGCTGGGAATTAGCAGTATGGGTGTTCTATTTCTTTTGTACTTTTTTGCTTATGTTTTTTTTATTTGTCAGAATAAATTAAATGTGATTCAGGATGTTACGGCCAATCTGTAAATGTTACTTGCCCTTTCACTGTTGTTAATCGCTCATTCTCAATTAGGTTTAATCTGTCACTCGTTGTTATTACAATAGCGTTTAATACAGTAGAACTTTGTGATATGATCCTGTTGTGCAGCAAATGTGAACCAACATTAATGCAACAATCCAGTTGTACAGCCATCAACATTATTAGAGAAGATTTCGACACCCACGAATAATCTTATGCGGTAGAGAGATTGCGAGAAACCGGCAATGTACACCCTACAACAGACCTCTTCATTTCTAACCTTCTCTACCGACGGTATCCTCATCATTCTCCTGTAACACCACATTTCGAACCCTGCTACCCTTTTATTTTCCGCCGCGCCCACTGTCCATGTTTCGCACCCGTACAGCGCTGCACTCCAAACATATACCTTTAACAAGCTTTTTCGCTTTCTAAATTAACCGTTNTCTATATCCATACAAAATATCTATCAAACAAATAAAATTAAAATTTTCTTTTGAAAAATGAAACCATTCCATCAGTATTTTCTTATGACGTTGTCACGTTCAATTATCGTCAGTAAACCGACTTTACAGACAACCGATTTTTTGCGAAAGCTCATTGAAACTAAATGACATTCGTATGTACAGATGGCGCGTGTCGTGATCCATGTAGAGAGTGTACATGATGCATTTAGGATTTAACGAATTGTTTGTTGTAGGAATATATTAAAAATTCTTGCGCGCAATTTGATTTACACGATCAATTTCCTTGGCTCTGTTGAGAATCAAAGTCTATTTCACAACAGAATAAATTTTAATTGAAAATTGAAATAGCAGATCGGCGAATGTGTTGTGTATATGTGTATATGCATTTATATCCGTATGTATATGTGTGCGGGCGGGGATCGAATTGAACCATTCAAAATGGAAATGGATTACAAAGTCGAGTGAGCTAAAGTTGAAAATAAACCATTTACATCCACCATTTGGAAAACTGAATGACAGATCATTACACGTGAAACATGTAATTGGTGCCGTCCGCACATTTAACACTCATTTTAATGTTTCGGGAAATGTTACTGTGTCTTTAATGGAAAACAAAACCGTACGGGAGCAGCTACACAATTTTCCAAATGAATCGCTCAGTAAAAAATTAAACACCAGAATGAGTCACGCGTATTGGAAAAACTAAACGTTGGGGGATTATAATTAAAAACCCCTTTTCTCGAATCCAAGCAAGCATACAAACAAAATTCAACCTTTATCAATCTAAATATGAGATTCACTGCTGCACATTCCAAATTAAACAACGTAATCGTAATCGTATCAACCGAAATAAAAACGCACTCAAGAACAAAATTCTTCATTAAATATTATTAAGTGTAGGCTATTTGTTTTAATTCGACCGGCAAGTTGTGAAACAAGTCTCTAGTCTCAATGCTGAATTGATGTTCGGACTTCCGAAATTCCACCATGGTATAGGAATTTTGTAATAATTATATACATAGTCTATAAAAAATATACCATTCTATTTACTTTGTTTATAAATAAACTGCTCCTGCAGTTTCATCCACTTGACCTTGTAAATTAACCTTAACATATAGATATATGTCGTCACGGACTGATATTTTATTAAGCTCTAAAATAGAGGTGTCCAACCTGCGGCCCGTAGGCCGCATGCGGTTCACCTTGAACGTTTTTTCGGTCTGCAAAATTCATCATAGTTTTACAGTTACAAACTATATTTATTTGTTTTATAATGGCCAAAATATCGAAAGTATATTCATTATAGAATGTAGTAGAATTAAATGCCTAGAGATAGCTAGATAGTAGTTGAGATGCAGCAAAAACAAAATATAAATACTGCAGTAAAGGCACCAGCTGAATCCAAACTTTGCGGCAATAGAAGTTCAACAATTCGTCTTAACGAACAACGTAACCACCAGAATATACATAAGTAAAGACATGTAATTACAAGTTTTAAAACGGGTTTGGTTTTCTTGGTAGTTCATTATGTACAAATTCGAGACTGAGGTAGTAGGTACAAATCCAAAATATCTATTCCATGCACCCTTTGCTCAGAAGTAAAAACATTCTTTAAGTAAGAAGAGTAGTCAGTAGAATCAAAATCATACACAGCATTGACAATTAAGTGCTCTAATGAGTAATTAAATCCAGGCAATTTTTAAAGATTAATGTTGTACTAGCTTAAGTTAGTTAGTAGTAGTAGTAGTTGTTGAATGATTGAAAATAACTAAATGCTTTCGAGATATGATACAATTTTTATTAGAATAAAAAATAGATACACGGACAATAAAATTCTCATTAAGTGCTAATGAAAAATTAAATGCTTAAGATTAAGCTAGCAGTGCATGAACGAAAATATTATTTAGAGAATGAAAGTAGCTTTCTTAGCCGTAAGGTACGATAAATGTTCATTAAATGCCTAGTTAAAAATTAAATGTTTAAGTTATGCTAGCAGCACACGTGCGAAATATTATTTCAAGAATGAAAATAACTTTTTTACTACACAGTAAAATTAAATACTCATTAAATGCCTAATGACAAATTAAATGCTTAATAAATTTTACTAAAAAATTTGTTGTGTGTAGTGATTACAAAAATTGGCTGAAGGAGAAAAGCAATTTTCACTAAATAATTTTTTCGCTCATGTTCTACTAGATTAATCATAAGCCAGCATAATAGTATTTTTTTAAAAAAATGCTCGGAGTATTTAGTTTCTCAACTGGTCTATTTCTAAAGCATTTAATTACTCTGTTACTTAAAAAGGTATTTTCAATCTTTGTGATTTTTCCGCCCAGTTTTGCTAGCTTCATCTCGAATTTAAATCGTTGTTTATTTATTTTATAATTTTTACACTGTACATGTAATATATAGTGATATCGGGAGGCGAAAACTACATTTTCTGTTGATTAAGGTCAGATTGAATTTAGGAATAGAATTTTCTCAGAACAAAATGGTATCGATGCAACGGTAAATTACATCAGGATCTAACCTACCTCTTACTGACACTTGTTGACTCTCGGAATAACTTTTTCATTTAGTTCCTCGATGTATTTCTCTAGGGATTTGTAAGCTGTAAATTCCTACAGAACTACTAGCTAGCAGATTGGCAACTATTTGATTTATGAATTCTGAAAACCTTTTTCCTAATATAATTCCATTTCGCGGTGTTCTGATTTATAAAATGATAAAACTCTAAGTGATTGGAATTGATTTGAAAACATTTCGTGTACGTAGTACACCGTAAGTATGGATAATGTTTTAACCCTGTATGGAGGACCTTAAAGCCATCTAGAAAATTGAATGTTATAGTTGGTAAAAGTCTCAAAAAATTTACATCACTAGTCTATTTCTTGGGCATCGTCACTACGTAGTTTTGCAATATCTTCAGTTGTATTATCAAGGTAATCGCGTATCTAGATAAAGAAATTTTTCTACTTTAATTACAACAAAATGCGTAATTGATTTCAATTGAAAATGTATTATTGGCTCTAGCATCAATTATTGCTACATCTGTTGCTTTATATTCACAGTCAGATTTTTTCCTTAGAATTCCAAGAAAACCGAGATAAATGTTAATCTGATTTGCTAATATCCGTTGGAAAAGTGATAATATAATATTCTGGAAACTCGTTCGTACTCATATGTAACTCTTTCGATAATATACGATACAGAATTCCCAAATTTTTTATTCAATAGTGAAATGCTACACACAAAAAGTTATTTAATTTAATTACTACAACTTGTAAACTAAATATTCAAAAACTGAACTATTGTATTATCAAAGCAGAAGTGTTTAAAAACTTTTTGAAACTTATATTCTTACTAATTCTCGGCCAGGCGTGAGACTAACCATACACTGCTACCAAAGTATAGACTCTGAAACAGGATTTTTATTGCTTGTTCCGAATTCTTAAATAACCGAATTGTCACGTTTTGACAGTCAAAAAATTTACTAACCATTTTCAGCAGATATTCTGTTTAACAGTAACACCTGAAAAAGCCACAGTGTGGTGAAATAAGTTGTAATTGGTAACTAAAACTGTTTGTTTATTATTATTAATATTTAAAATGGAGTTACTAGAATTAAAAGCTTCGTCGGTTCAACTATTCGTTAATTTTATCACAAACGTCCAGACCGATACCTTATTGCTAGGTTTCTTTTAAGAAGAACTGAAGCTCAACTTTATAGGATTAAGGCGCCGAAACAATCTAATTGTAAGAGCCAACTGTTCTTTTGCCAAAATGTCCTAGGGCGAAATTTTTAGTTATTTTGTGCTCTAGTTTATTTTAAATTGTTAGTTTATTGTTTCAGCTTATGTAAGTACAATACAATCGCATTTAGTTAAATACGATCATGCAGAACACTAATATTTTTTTGAATCCATCGAAATTGAAAAGTCAAAACCTACGCTAATTGCTATTTTAAACAATATTTTATCAACAGCAAACAAAATTGACACCACTTTTTGTAGAAATGAACGTTTACATTTTGTTTCTTTTTAATTAACGGTAATTAATTGTTTTCGGGTATATTCATTATTTTGTGTTTTATTTGATTGCACAGATACTTCATTCAAGTGAAATTTAATAAAAGTTTATTGTTTGGTAATAATTTTC